AAAACTTTCCGTGAGGAAAGGCTTTTGTTGTCTCCCAGAGCAGCTTAAGCTCAGGAAAGGGGGGCTGGGGGGCTTGCGGCCCAGACTCGGGGCAGACACGCTCCTGGCCGCCTGGTCCACCTGCTTGTTGCTTTAATGACATCTAGACTTCTGGAAACCTGAGAGCTCCTGGAGGAGCTGAAAGGGCCGATTGTGGGTTGTGGTGGAGGCGGCAGGGAGGTTGAGGTGACAACAGGGGGCTTTGGCGGCAGACAAGCCCACGCCTGGGGAGCCATCGCTCCAGTGGCAAAGCTTGAAGGGGGGACTCTATTCCAGCCAAACAGGGGTGTGGGTCCCCTCACGTAAGTTCTGGAATACACTGTGTGCCTCAGAAGTGTTTAGAATATGCTTCCAGCCAGCGTATGTCGGTGGGACACATAAACAACGATCTGTGTGCATGTGCATGGGGGGGAACTGCCCACAATCCATGTGAGAAAACCGAGGATGCCCCTTCCAGAGGGGAGTGGTCACCTCATCCGGCTCTCGACTGTGGCAATCCACAGAAATCCCGTTGGAGAAATGGCTCACGTGCAGCTGTTAAGACACATTTTTAAAACTTACATTTCAAATAACGCTAGGTCCATAAAACTAATCTTTAAAAAACGTACTCCTGTGGTTCTCCCATGATCAGGAGTCTAAACTGAGAGCCAAAATATTACCAATATTGTTAAACCAAAGAGTAAATTATAATTGAAGTTCATTTGTGGGCTGGGTACCTTTGAAACAAAACCTGAGAGTAGAAACAACCCAAAACAAAGACATCCTACAACTGGCTCGGATTCCCTTTGAGGTGAGTCCTCTGGGAGGAACGATGGAATACAATTGGTTGGAGAAATCACACCACAATAAGGTGTTGCAACTGCAAAAGGTTAGGCAATCGCCATTTAGAGATGCCATGAAGTCCGTGGGGCAAGTACTGCACCAGCTGGGAGACCTGGTCCAGGTATCATCCTGGCAAAGGCGCACCTGCTGACCTAACGCCCCCTCTCCACCTAGATCAGCCCTGGGCACCGAGGTGGCTCCCGCTCCCTGCCAGGCCCGAAGCTGTGCTCCCAACACAAGCACACGAGGCGTCCTGGCGCTTTCCGGAACCTTCCTCCACCCAGAACGTGCAGGAGTGTCGACATTGTCCCCTTTGGGCGAATTAATTTTCAAACACTCCAGTTACACAGAATCTCTCGTGGGGCCAGCAGAGCATCAGATCACAGTGCAGACTTGCCACTAACGCATTACAAATGCAGCCAAGCTCAGCCCATGCCCGCTGTCACTCTGACCCCCACGTCAAGGAGCCACAGTGCAAACCCACCATAGGCACCCTAAGAACTTGGAGCGGGAGGCTGGGGCTCAGATGCCTGTGCTCATAGCACAGCCTCGTTTCAATGTCATGCCATCCGGGGTCTGACCTACATGGACCTCGCTGCTCCTACGACAGGGTGGGGTCCAGGTTAGACGAGTCAGGTTTTGCACAGGGACCTGGCCTCGAGATCCTCCCATGAGCCCTGAATTCTCGGCAGACAGTTTGCCCACCTCTGGTGAGATAGGTGCTTCCTCCTCACGGTGGCTGCACAGCTGTAAATACCCCGAGATTCCCAGAGTGAGCTGGTCTGTCTGTATTCCAAATGCCTACAGTCTCGGGGAGACCATGGCCACTCAAGATAGCAGAACACCTGATCTGCTTTCCCCACAAGATAGACAAGGTGTGGCTCCAGCTGCCAGGACAGGGTGAGGTCATCGCCTGGGTGCTTTGACCAACTCCAGTCCCTCCAGTCTGGGAGCCCCATAGAGGGAAGCCTGACACATGTAAGGCTGCGTCCAAGAAACATGGCGCATGTGCCCCGTGGGCCTCCCTCAACCTCTGGGAACGGCTGCTCGTTGGGGATGTTGGCAGAGGCTGGTCAGCCGTCTGCACCCACCACCAGCTCTGAGGACTGAGGGGGATTTGCTCTCCTGTGGGGTGAGGTCAGAACCTCTGTAAGGGTCCCAAGGCCAGCAGTGACACTTCAGCAGCTCAAGGCTACCCGTGTGGTCCTGATGACGCCGGCAGTGAAATGTCGCATATGGGGGTATGTGAAGAAGGTGCGTATTTACAGACAAGCATTTACTGCTTTCCAGGGGGGCCTCTGGCACAGCTGCCTTAACCACAATCCGGATCCTGACCCCAAAATGAACATCGCGTTGCTCTAATGGGCTAAACTGAAAAGCTTTGTTTATTACTGGCCCAGGACTACAGAGACTTAGTGGAAATGAGGCCCCCAAATGTGGCCTAGAACGGAGCAGACAGAATTTCCGTGAGCAAAGCTGCACTGGGCTGGCCATGGACCTCTGCGCAAGGGCCCAGGACCACGTGTGTGACGTGGAGACAGGTGGGCAGACTATGTCAACAGGGGCGGGGCGTGCACAGCGGAGTGGGGCGGGGCCTCCATGGCCAGGCCAGGAGGCTGAGGACAGCCAGTGGCTCATTAGAGTTCAGGAGAGATGACCATGATCACAGAGACAGCAAGCAGAGTATTTGGGGGAAACGAAGAGCAGACGACCTGCTAGAAAGTGACCTGACTGCATAGGTGAGAGGCGTGGGGGACCTGACGCAGAGGGCACAGGTGTTTTTAAAGGTGTTTTGAGGCAGGACCTCCAGGGCTAGAGCCTAGTGTCAGCTGCGGAGTGTGACAGGGAGGAGCTGGGGCCCATTGGAGGCATCAGGTGGGGCTCAGAGCCCAGAGGTGTGGTTTTCAGGCACCTGGAGCTCCACACCTGCACCCCACTGGGCTGACAGGGGCTGGGCAATCTACAGAGTCTGCACCGTGGGGGCCAGGCAGTGTGCTCAGCAAGTGTGCCAACCAACGGCTATTCCCTGGACTGAAGGACTCAGTGTGACCGTCTCACTCAGCTGTGACATCTCAACCTAGTACTCTCCTGACATCAAGTGAACCAAGTCCAGAGAGGCCCAGAGATGGGCCCAAGGCGGGGCCCCAGGCCCCTCCCACACTGGCACCTTCTTAGGGGCAGAACCAGCACCTGTGAGACCACTGACTATGGAACACTGCCTGGTCACGAGCGCACCTCCCAGGGTGGCTCTGAGCACCCTGCACATCCTAGCGAGACCGCGACTGCCCACGAGGTACCAGGGCAGTGGGACACAGGCTGGAGGGCTGCCCAGGTGTCTGCCCTCGCCCAGGAGGGATGGGGGCGGGGCAGGACCACAGAGGACAGGTGTGCGCCCTTGTCTGTTCTCTGCCAGCCTCCCACTGGACCATTCATGCCCAGGTCTGGGAAACAGCTTACACCTGGGAGATGGGAAGGGGGCTCTGCACAAACGATCCAGCATGGCCCAGGAAAGTGCTAGCAGAGCAACTCCCAGTGAGCAGATCACGGGGCCTGTGGTCACGTGTTGATCAAGGTGCGAGTCAGGACTGCCCGCTGTCACTCAGCCGCAGCCCCAGCTGTCCCCAGAGAAACAGTGACTTTATAATAAATAAGCAGGAAAGCCCTGGCACGGAGAGTTCCACACCATTGTCCTGCCTGCAGGTGGGCTGAGGCACGCCCTCGCTCAGTCATCCTGAACGTGCCACATTCGGTGAGGTTTCTGCACGGAGAGCCCCGTGCCCTGCTGGGGTGCAGGAGCCCCCTATCCCGTCACCCAGCTCCTTACAAGGCTGTCACAGCACAGCTGTACTGGGTCCAACGGGCATCACTTGGCTGAGCCCCTACTCATCAACCATTCACCAAAGGAGCTCCCGAGGCTTGCCCTCAGCCAGGCCCCTGCGGCCTCCAGCTCCAACAGGGCTCCGCGGGCTCTCAGCAGCGCCATGCGCCCCTCTGGCCTGCACACCTGAGCCTTCTGAGGTTTTGGCCGGTGTCATCAGAACCGGGTTCCCTGCGAGTCGACAGCCAAGGGCACCCACCGGCTGGGCGGCCCAGGTGACCGAGCAGCGCACCCCGTCAGGCGGCTGACACTGCCCACCTGCCGTCGGGGGGCCCCCCAGCGGCGGGGCGCC